GACTCTTTCACCAGCTCCCAGTGATAACTGAGGCAGCTGGTGCTCAGACCGTGCTTTGGGAAGTAAGGGCGTAGACCCCTGCTCAAAGGTCAGGCAATCTCCTTTGCAGCTCTGAAGTCGAATGGCCTAAGCCAGTTACTAGCTATGTGACATTGGGTAAGGCCCTCAATGCCTCTTCTCATCTGTAAAACGGGGATATGAGTAATGCTTGTTTTACAGAAGCAAGTAAGATTAAGCAAATTCAGCAAGATCACATAGGTTAATATTTTGTGTATAAAGCGCTTAAGCATTGCCTGGCACACTGAATAATTATACAAATGTATCTCATATGATACACATCATACATATCTTGCTGCTCACAGGACATCAATCTCAGTGGGTTAAACCAACTTCCTGCCATAGATTTTCCTCTTGGGGTGGGGGCAGGGTGACAGAGATGCAGATGAGGGAATCAGGGCTTATGGGTGTGTGGGTGGTAATGGAAGAAAATTTAAATGGATAGCATCCAGCTCCCTGATCTGCCCCCCATGAAGGGACCAGGAATTCTTATTGGTACTCAAATCTAACTGTGGACTTCTAGTACTTTCTTTGGGTCAGGCAGGGCCCCAGGGCCTAGGAACCCAGAATTAAGACTTGGTACCCATAATCCAGGAGCCAGAACAGTGCAGGGCATAAGCCTGAAGAGCAGGCACCTGCAGGCAGGGGCTGAGGTACCAATAAGAAAGGGGTCCCCTGTGCCCCTAAACACATCATGGTGTGGAAAGCCTGGGAAGCTCTGGGTTCCAGTCACCTACTGGGCACCTGGTGGCCACATATCTGGGGCAGGTCAGAGACCTTCTCCAGACCTTCGCTAATTCAGCTCTAAAATCTGCCGACAGTTTAATAAAGGAGCTTAAATGCCATAACGTGTGTGGAAGTGCTTGGAGAAAGTTTTATACGTGAGTACACAGGCTCCTTTATCAGAAAAGGCACCAAAGCTTCCCATCCTTCTGAATTGGACAGCAGCTGAGCTGTCCGTGGGGACTAAAGAGGAAGTACCCGTTCCTGCTCCCTGGAAGCTGCCCCAGAGGAGTGGGTACCCCAAGGCAGAAGGGGTGCCCCAAGAAGTAGCTTTTCTTTGTGGGAGGCAGAGATGGGAGCAGCAGACTGTGTCCTGAGAGAGGGATGTCTATAGAGAGTGAGGAGCTACTTCCTCGGAGAGAGGCCCTGGAGTCAAGGGGATCCTCTTGGAAGGGGTTGGCTAAGGCCACCGGGAAGCCCAGGCCCTGCCCGTTTTGGGTATCTCCTCCTCAGGCCGTGTCCCCTCTAATCTAAGGCAGCGAGGCCAGCAAATGCCTGCCCTTAAGGGGCCAGGGTTGGATGTGTGACTTAATAAGGTTGAGAGCCACAAGTAATCCCCTAAGTACTTTGCCTGTAACCTAAGATTATCTGGCCTGCAAACACCTGTTTTCACTTCTTTGCTGATAGCGGTATAAAAAGCATGCTGGTTAATGACTCTAGGAATTGACCAGGGGTGGAATGTACCAAAATTTGTCCTATCTTGGAAGTACCTCCTGGGGAACCAGGCTGCACATGCCCATCCACAAGTTTAGAGGAACTGGAAGGGCTCACCCGAGTTTCCATCCATATGCAGTCATTGGGACCTAGCGGGAGACTTGAAGGTCAGGGTCAGGATTGCAGGGTCTCAGGTTAGTGCAGCCGCTAGGTCCCTCGTTGATGGGCAGTGGTCAGTCCTTCAGCCCCCTGAGCCACCGTTTCCACGCCTTGAGAGGGAGGCAGTGTCACACCTACTCTGCTTGCTACAGACAAGGTAGTCACGAGGAGCGGGGGAGGCAGGTGTAATCTGCACGCTGGGCCAACAGCTCACATCCCTAGATGGGATCTAGGTAGATGTAGACTCTTTTGAGAAGCAGAGCAAGTGCCAGCCCTGTGAAACTGACCAATCATGTTCTAACCATTTAGAACTGCAAGTCTCTGCTTCGGGTGGCACGGAAGATGTTGGCAATTTGTTGGAGAATCATTTCTCTGCTGGAGACGCAAGTCTAGAGGAGAAAGAAAGGGCACTTTATGCAGACGCGGCCCCTCAGGACAAGAAACTGCTCCTTCACTACCCGGATGGCAGGGAGGCTGAGAGCTCAGAGAAGATTGCAGCCGCTGGGGCTCCTCCAGCTGCTGCCAGCAGCGGCTCCGACCCCGAAGCCAGCCTCTCTAATGCCTCAGCTGCAGAGTCAGCTCCTCCCGGGGACACTGTGGGGCCTGGGAAGGATGGGGAAGGCCCATCAGCAGGAGGGGTCGAGGGGCCCGTGGAAGAGGAGAGGCCAGGGCTCAGTTTGGGAGGAGGAGAGGAGGGAGCTGCCGGTGGGGAGGCAGAAGGACAGACTGGGAGTGGCGAGGTCCCTGAAGAGGCTAGGGAGGTCCTAGCAGACAGTCCCATGCAGGCAGCAACAGTGGGGACAGCTGAGCCTGAAGCTGCAGAGGCCCCTCCTAGCTTAGAAGGTGAGGAGTTTCATGCCCAGGAGACGGAAGGCGAGGGCACCCCGAGGCCTGGACAAGAGCCGGCAGTGCTGGATGGAGCTCCTGATGTCGCGTCTGTGGGAGAAGAGCCAGAGGCCGAAGATGACACAGGAGCCAGGGAGGGGGCTGAGGACCAGGGGGAGTCCAGTCCCCGCCTGGAGGCTGGCCCAGCCACAGAGACCAGTGCAGAGTCTGGGGGTGCCCAGAGCTCCGGGGCAGGAGGAACTGAGGAGGAACAACCCCCAGAGGGCCAGGCGCCAGGAATGCCCTTGGAGGATGAGACCTCCACTGAAGAAGAGGGCGGTGACAACGGTGGAAGTGAGGAGGCGGGAGGAGATGCATCTGAGTCGGAAGAAGACAGCGGTGACGGGGCGAGTTCTGAGGAAGAAGGGAGCGCCTCTGACGAGGCTGGGGAGCGCCAGGAGGAGCCCCAGAAAGCAGCAGGAGACACCAACCATGTGGATGAAGGGGCCCAGCTCGGCCTGGAGGAACTGAATGCAGGGTCTGAGGGCGGTGAGGCCCAGGATGCTGAGGCAGAGGAGCCCGAAGATGGACGTCAAGGGAGGGGGATTCCTGCAGTTGCTCCCCAGGGTAGGAATTAAATCCTTAAATGCATCCCCAGCACCTTGGGCAGCTGCATTCTTCCTGGAAATCTCATATATAGTGGGTCAGGGAGGGGCAGGCAGGGCAGGAGGGCCCCCAGTGAACCCCGGGTCTGCCAGGCAGAGTCCCCATCGAGGGCACTGGCCCAGGGAGGTACCTTGGGCTGCTCATGAGCCATGTGTCTCCAGTTTGGAGGGACCAAGAGGGTCCAGAGGGATCTGGGCACTTCTGAGTCAGGCCCACTGGAGCCGCCCATTTGGGGTCTCTAGATGCTTCTTAACATGAACCAGCACCTTCACCTGAAGGACCAGGGGACAAATGACAAGGCCTGAGGCCCCAAGGCTGGCCAGTGGCAGGATGTGCAGGGAGGTGGTTGCTGGAGGTAGGTTGAGACCCATCTGGGGGATCACCTTGATCGGCCAGAACTTTGGGTCTCCCCTTGATGACTAGGCCATAGGAGGCTTGGAGAACTGGGACTGAGGGGTCGTGATGTGACTCGAGAACTCAGACTGACTGTGATCACCAATGTCCCTCAAATGTCCACCTCGGGCAGCAGCCACTGCCCTCGAAAGGTTGGGAACAGGAGTTGGGGGGAGAGGGCAGGGAGAAGTTATGGGGTAACATTGGAGATGGATCTGGTGCTAGGGATGGCCAGGACACTTCGTGGCTTCATCGTCTGAGATGTGGACGTAGAGCAGGCGCTGGGCTTTCAGGGAGAGTGGTTGGATCAGGTCCCCCACGGTCGCCTTACATAATTTAATTTACATACCATTTGTCAGGTACCTGTATTCTTCATAAACAGGGAGGGTGGGATGGGTGGTGCTGCCTTCAGTAAGCTCCTCCTTTTTGCCTGTCTCCCCATTCTGGGTCTGGGGTCTGCATGTTGGTGGTCCTTTGCTTTCCACCCCTAGCGGGACTGGCCTCTGTCTGCCCACAGGCCCACGTCTGCTTCCCTCCTAATCACTTGCAGTTCCCTGTGCAGGCAGCCTGCATAGACATGGCTGTGACATTGAAGGCCCAGACCTAAGGCCAGCTTGGGCATCTGGACACGCTGCAGTGGCTCCCCTATTCCCATTCTCCACACACAGCCAGAGTGATCCTGATAACATGCTCATCTGATCACCGCAGCTGTCTGCTTAGAATCTTTTCCCCCACCCTCCACCTTCTGGTGCCCTTAGGATGAAATCAATCTCCTCTGGTGGCCTTCAGGGCTCTGCAGACCTCTTCACGCACTGCCACAGCCATTGCCTTCTTCCTGCTTCCTGCTGGACAGCTCCTGTCTGGGCTTTCCTAGAAAACTCTCTCTCCTTCACCTAATTCCCTCCTCCTCACCCTAGACCTGGAGACATTTTCTCCAACTCCCCCTTCCAAGACTACCTGGGCATGCTTCTTAGACACTCAGAGCTTCTGGAATTTTCCCTTCCATAGCCACCCACCATTTGCAATTATGTTATTGTACAAGCCGTTTATCATCTCTCTCCCCACTAGGCTGCAGGGAACCTCTCTAAGGGCAGGGGCTGTACCTGTTTTGGCGTCACTCTCAGCATGACACTCGGAGCTCAGCGTGTAGTAGGTGCTCAATAAATATTTGTTGCCATAATAAAATGGATCATGGAGCTTTAAGGTTGAGACTGATTTTTTTTGGGGGGGGGCAGCTGGCTGGTAAGGGGAACTGAACCCTTGGCCTTGGTATTACAAGGCTGTGCTCTAACCAACTGGGCTAACCGGCCAGCTCCTAAGATTGGGTTTTCAAATTCCGTTGTAAAGGCAGAACTCAGTTCAGTTCAACTGGAGGCCCAGCCTTCCCCCACCGTCTTTCCAAGCAGCCTAGCGCTTGGCTGGCCCTGAGTCTGCTCTAACCCTGTGTCTGCTTCTCTCCCCAGAGGAGATGGAGGATGTGAGTGAGGAAGCCCCTCCGAGGGACCGCTCCCACATCGAGAAAACCCTGATGCTGGATGAGGACAAGCCAGCCGACGATTACTCTGGTAACCAGAGGAAGGGGACCCAGGCTGGGCTGGCAGAGCCTCGGGGGCTGCTGGGAGCCAGGGTGCAGGGGGCTGCAGATCTGATGCCAGAGGGGACCACAGGGAAAAGGAAAGCCCTGGAGGTGGGGAGCTTTGTGGAGGAGGCGCCGTGAGCATGGTCCAAAGCCGTGGGGCTCCAGATCTGCAGAGAGGGGGAAAGGAGACCCACATGGAGAGACCAGAAAGAAAAATTCCAGAAAGGAGTGAAAGGACAGAGGGCGAATCCCAGGGCTGCCTCCGTGCTGTGGCAGGGGAGGATGGTTAGTAAGAATTCATCATGTTTGCTTTGATTTTTAGCTTATAAAGCTCTTTTGTGTCTGGTGTTTCATCCCATCCTCATAATAACCCCAGGATTTCGGCGGGCCTTGCCGTCTCCTCTCGTCAATGAGTTGTCTGGAGCTCAGAGCTCAGGGTGCGCAGCTTGAGAGCGGCGGGGTGAGGGGTAGAGTCTGGCCAGCCTGCCCCTTGTCTCCATGCCTTCCTCTTTGTGCCTCAGCCTTGCCTTGGAGCTGGGCTCTTCCCACAGGACGCCTGGGATGTGTGAATTCCCCAGGAGCACCTGGAGGTGTGGTGGTGGGTGAGGCCCCAAGGGCGTCCTGTGGGAAGGCTCAGTGCCGTGGTCCTTGTGTCCTGCGGGCATCACACGCAGAGGTGGGCAACGGAGAGAGGCCTTCCGTTCAGCTGCAGGTGGAGGCAGCGTTTCCAGATGCACTACTGAGGAGGGGAGGAGGGAGTGACTTAGGTGTAAAAAAATATACAGCCCAGGAGGCTTTGCGGGATGGGTGGGAGAAGGCCTTTTGGTTTGAAGATGTCTGAGGGTTGGGATGTGGACCAGCTCCCTTCACACTCGCTACTGTATGGCACAGTCGCTCGGCTGCAAACGGCCCCTGCCCCTGCCAGGTGTGGATGGGGCTGCCCTGGGGTGTGAGCCCCCTTGGCGGTGGAGGAGCCACCTGGAACCCACCCTGCCTGATGCTTGCCCCTCACCCCTCTCTGTCCCCAGTGGTGCTGCAGCGGCTTCGAAAGATCTACCATTCGTCCATCAAGCCCCTAGAGCAGTCTTACAAATACAATGAGCTTCGACAGCATGAGATCACAGGTACAGCACGGGCCGCACCTCTGCCCCACCCAGACTCCCCTGGTGCCCACTCGGGTTCCCAAGCTCTGCGGGTAGTGTGCGCGAGAATGCACAGGGAGAGGGTGGAGACCTCTGTCCTGTCAGCCACCCCTTCCACTGGAGGAGTGCCCCGTGCTCTCCAAGGGCTTTGCAGAGAGCACTTCGTTTTCAAACATTTATGCTGCAGCAGTGCATGTGTCGCTTTCCATCCCTCCTGTGCTCAAGCACCCAGTGGAGTCCCTACTCACAGATGGGTCACATCTGAGTCCTCCGAGTGGCCTGGGCTGCTCCCCTCCTCCTTGTCAACCCCCTCCCCCTACCATCACCTTCCCTTGGGCCTGGATTCTTTTAAAAATTGGTTTTCAAAGTAGTAAAAATAAGACATACTTTTGCAAAAAACGTTCCAAATAGTGCGGGATAGTATAAATAGAAAAATAAAAATTCCTTTCTTGATCTCCAACTTCTCTAATTCCACTCCCAGAGGCACCCACTGTTATAGTTTCTCATGAATACTTCCAGACATTTCCTCTGCCTATGTGAGCATATAAAAGTCCATTTACAAAAATGGGATCATATTATGCAGACTGTATGCATGTGTGTAGATGCACCTTATTCTTTCTGACGGCTGCCTGGTCTTCCCTTACGTGATTGCTGCCTGCTCTGCTTAACCAGCACCTTACGGATGGACAACGGGGTGCTTTCCAGTTTCCAGTTTTAAAAGTGTTCCAAACACTACTATAATCTTTACATATTTCATGCAAGCATATTTGTAGAAGTTCTAAAAAGCAGAGCACTGAAATTAAACATTTTGATAGTTGTTGCCAAATTGCCTTCGATTATACCAGTTTGTACTCATAATAACAGCAGATGAGAGTTCTTGTTCCCATGGCAATGCCATTTTAAGTGTTATTCACCTTTTAAAGCTTTAGCAATGGTATCTTGTTTTTTTCATTATGAGTGATATTACAAATCTCCTGTATTTATTGGCTATTTCTAGGTCATCTTGTCTGATTCTCTCAATGGCTATAAAATGGGTAGGAATGTTAGAGGATATATATTATTCCTGGAGGGAATTCCCGTCCACAACTACCTATACTGATTCTTGCCAGCCTAAAAGTCAGTATCATGGAGGATGTACAGACATTGGTGTGAGGTTACAAAGTCACCCAGTGGCTTTCCTCTGTCTCCCACAATTGCCTTCTCTTCTAGCTCTAAGACCAAGTGGCCTGGCCCTACTGGGAAACTCCAGTCTTAACATCAGCAGAGGCCAGGAGGCTGCTGTTGCCCCAGGCAGTGGTGCTGGGGAGGGAGTATAAGGTTCCTGGCTCTTGATCTCACTTTCTGGACTTGGTCCTTCTCCCAAGTCTGCCGCCAGCTTCCCGCATTCTCTGACCTCCTGCGTGTGCCAGCGATGCCCCCTGCTGTAGAGAGCTGAAACAGCAGCCCCCGGAGGAGCCATCTCTGTGCTCTGCCCTGGAGAACGGGAAGGTCCAGCATCCTCCTTGGTGTCCCCTGGGCCGGTGTAAAGAGACTTTTTGTGAAACCTCTGTGGCTATGCCTGGGGACTCCAACCACCCTCTCAGCCTGCCTATTCCTTCCTGTTCCCAAACCAGGAATTGACACCCATAGAGATGTGAGCATCTCCTTGTATTTACAGGCAGGCAGGGATGGGGCAGGACCATGGCAAGCACTTTCAGGCAATATATATTTGCCCACCATTTATAAACAACATCTTGGTCTTCCAGGACTTAGTTTCCCCTCAGAAAAAGAAAACCAGTGCTCCAAAAAGCAAGATGCAGAGGGGGGCTGGCTGGTTAAAGCGCAGTGTTATAACAACAAGATAACGCGTTAAGATCCCTGTACAAGCTAGCAGCCAAAAAAAAAGCAAGGTACAGAGAAGAAGTATACCATACTATTCTCTGTATAAAAAAGACGAGGAATATGATATCTACTAATTCTGCTTATATATGCATTAAAATATTTAAAAGAATATGTGAGAAATTAGCAGTGGTTACCTATTAGAGGGGCTGTTTTGGCCAAGGCAGACTGGGCACATGCACAGGAGACTTTTCACTGTATACTTTTTTGTACTTCTGGATTTGGACAAAGAAATTTAAAAAATTAAAATGGTAAGAAATGAATGAAAACAACAGCAGCAACAAAAAAATGGAGTGCCTACCGTTTTGGGGACTATCTGCCAGACTTCAGGAGATGGGTCTGGAGAACTTTAGGTGCCAAATCGTGCAGGCTGGCTGCATGTGCTGTAGTTCCGAGAAGCGCAGAAAGAGCGGAGGCCTGCCCATCAGCAACAACACTGACCACATCATTGTCAAAAGCCTCTCAGCCTCCCTTCCCCATCCCCTGGTTTTAAAAGCACTAGAGAATTCTGCTTTTCTTCTTAGGGATCACACCTGAAGTGGCCCATGCAGGGTGTTCTCCCCCACAAGGCTCCTGGAAGGACACTGGACATAGGGCCCAAGAGGCCAAGAATTGTCAGTCCGGTGTTTGGTTTTGGACACTGGCACATTTGTCACGGACCTTGGAGGCTAATATTTGAGACTGGCCCAACAGCCCAGGGTTGGGCTGAGTTGGGGGTTTGAGGAGTCACCAGCTAAGAGGTGGGAGAGCTGCAGGGGCTGGAAACAAGTAGCACCTCAGTCCAGACCCCCCCCCCCCCCCCCCCCCCCCCCCCCCCCCCCCCCCCCCCCCCCCCCCCCCCCCCCCCCCCCCCCCCCCCCCCCCCCCCCCCCCCCCCCCCCCCCCCCCCCCCCCCCCCCCCCCCCCCCCCCCCCCCCCCCCCCCCCCCCCCCCCCCCCCCCCCCCCCCCCCCCCCCCCCCCCCCCCCCCCCCCCCCCCCCCCCCCCCCCCCCCCCCCCCCCCCCCCCCCCCCCCCCCCGCAGGGGCTGGAAACAAGTAGCCCCTCAGTCCAGACCCCCCCCCCCCGCCCCAGACTGCATCAGCTTCTTCCATATCTGTTATCAATCCAGGTGGCAGAGTTTTAACTTCTGTCCATGTGAAGTTCTGCGCTCCCTTTTTTGGGAACTACTCTCCAGATTGAACCAAGAGACACTCACCCAAAGTGAGCTCCAATTCAGTGTGTGTTGAAGTCACCTACAGCCTGCCTCTGGTGCAGGCAGCTGGGCAAGGCTAATACAATGACTTCTGGTGTCTTTTAACTGGGTGAGCATCCCTGGAGAAGTGCCACTGATTGCTAGGCACTGTCTGATCCACATAGAATTCCCCAACCCAATGGACGGTCTGGGACGTAGAGTGCTTTGGAGAATGGTACCACCCCCATAATAAGAACTTTTGTTTGTTTACTTCCATTTCTAATTTTTGTTACCCACAGACGGGGAGATTACTTCCAAGCCAATGGTGCTCTTTTTGGGACCGTGGAGTGTTGGTAAATCCACCATGATAAACTACCTCCTTGGGTTGGAAAACACTCGCTACCAGCTCTACACAGGTAGTAGATTTTCTTATGTGGTTGTGGGTATTTGAATGTCATATGTAAAAGCACTATGAAAAATTAAATCATTTTTATGTATCTTCAATATGGTAATAAAAAGTACTGGGCTGGCCCGTGGCTCACTTAGGAGAATGTGGTGCTGATAACACCAAGGCCAAGGGTTTGGATCCCTATATAGGGATGGCTGGTTAGCTCACTTGGGAGAACGTGGTGCTGACAACACCAAGTCAGGGGTTAAGATCCCCTTACCAGTCATCTGTTTAGAAAAAAAAAAAAGTATGCACGAGGCAGCCACACCCATGTTCATAGCAACATTATTCATGATAGCCAGAAAGGAGAAACAGCCCAAATGTTCATCAATGGATGAAAGGGTAACTGGGCTGGTCGGTTAGAGCACTGCCTTGCAATACCAAGGTCAAGAGTTTGGATCCCTGTGCCAGCCAGCTGCCAAAAAAAGAAGGATATCCAAAATTTGGTCATATGTGTATGATGGAGTATTATTCAATCTTAAAAAGTAATGAAATTCTGACACACACTGCAACATGGATAAACTTTGAAGACATTATGCTAAGAAAAATAAGCCAGACCAAAAGGAGTAGGCATATTCACAGAGACAAAAAGTAGAATGGTGGGTGCCAGGGGCTGGGGAGGGGGGTGGGAAGTTGCTGTTTAATGGGGGCAGAGTTTCAGTTTGGGAAGATGAAAACGTTCTGGAGATGGATGGTGGTGGTGATGGTTGCATAACAGTGTGAATGTACTTAATGCCACTGAACTGTGCACTTAAAGTGGTCACAATAGTACATTTTATGTTATATATATTTACCACAAGTAAAAAAGGACACCACTAGCTTAGCAAATGTATCCTATTCTTATGGCAAAACTCTTCTGAGACATCCCACTCAGCCACACACTTTGCAGTAGGACTGATTCCCAGAGGTCATCGCGTTCCTTCTAATTTCACCTGGTGCCTGCAGGTGCCGAGCCCACCACGTCTGAGTTCACGGTCCTCATGCACGGGCCCAAGCTGAAAACCATTGAGGGTATTGTCATGGCCGCGGACAGTGCCCGCTCCTTCTCACCCCTGGAGAAATTTGGCCAGAATTTCCTGGAGAAGCTGATTGGCATCGAGGTTCCCCACAAACTCCTGGAGAGGGTCACTTTTGTGGATACTCCAGGCATCATTGAGAACCGCAAGCAGCAAGAAAGAGGTAACTGGGCACTCATTTCTGAACAGCGTGAGATCTCAAAATAGAAAACTATTTTTGACAGAGGGTAGGAGGCAGAGAGGGGAGAGGAAATGTGGCCAGTGTTGTCCAGGCCCAGGAGACGCATTCTCTCCTTCCACTCCTCTCTTGTTGTCACTGAGCTGACACTTAGGTTTGGAGTACCTTGTCCTCTGGTTCCCCAGGGACTGTATTCTCCCGAGGAGAGGACTAGTTTTCCCTGCAAGTAGACACTAGAGGTCCAAGCCAGGGCTGCATTGTCTTTGGGAGGCCCAGTCTGTCCAGGATAGTCAAGGGCCTGGACTAATTGGATCCCAGTCCAGATATGTTTGACATCTGGCTAAATTGAGTCTGTGGCTCCTGAGTTTGCTCTGGATTGAACTTGACCTTCAGCTCTTCCTATTCCATTTCTGTTCTACCAGGCCTGCTTGAATATAAGTCATTATCAGTTTTCCAAAGCCCCACTTGCCTTCAGGTGGCTGGGGAATGCCACTTTAGTCCTGGCAGGTGCAAGGCTGTGACATGGGCCACTAAGCACTGCCATGGTGCGAGATTGTCTGCAGGGACGAGTCCTAAACAGGGAAGTTGTGGGAACATGTGACCAGATGGTGGATCTCAGTTTATGGTTATAACCAGACCCTGCTTTATTAGTAGTGATAATACCACTAATAATTATAATATTAAAGGAAACCTATCGTACCCCTATTATGCATTGGATAATTTTATGCTTTATTGGCTGATCATTGTGAAATAAGATTTCAGTGTTTTCAAGATCAGGTATTTCTTGTCTGCTCATTTTGTAAATAAGAAAACTGAGGAAATAAGATGTTAAAGGATTTAAAATATTTTGGCACCTGCTGTATGACTGGTAGTTTTAGTTACGTGCTCTCCTATATTTATAGCAACGTAGTAATCTTTATATCAACTTAGATATTATTGTTCTTCTTGTTGTTTTGTAGCTAAAAATCTAGAGCTTAGAAGCATTTGATATTCAGCTGGCCAGTGGCAAAGCCCAAATTCTAGTCCATCTTGACACCAGGTCCCTGTGTCTTTCCCCTAAACAGTGTATCCTGTCTTTTCCGTTTTCCCAATTCCTGGCTTCTCTCCTCCAACGTCTTTGTCATTGCCCCAGATCTTTTTAGACAGTAGGAAAATCTCCATTTAGAACAAGTACTTCACTTCTGTGCAGACTTGGATTTCACTGTAGATTAAAACAAGGACCAGGCTATTTTTGGCAGGAGGTTGGCCAGGAGCAGGAGCAATGCAATTAATTCTGGATAGTTTAGAAACCCAGAAGATCCCTCGTACTGCAGCTGCTTCTAGCCCACAGTGAGGTTTGGTTCTGAAGGCAGGAGCTAGGGTTTTGAGAAAGGCCTGCTCAGCGTGACATCTCACTCCCGTCTCCCGCAGGCTACCCCTTCAATGACGTGTGCCAGTGGTTCATCGACAGAGCCGACCTCATTTTTGTCGTTTTCGACCCAACCAAGCTGGACGTGGGTCTGGAGCTGGAGATGCTTTTCCGCCAGCTGAAGGGACGAGAATCCCAGATAAGGATCATTCTGAACAAGGCTGACAACCTGGCCACGCAGATGCTCATGCGGGTGTACGGGGCCCTCTTCTGGAGCTTGGCCCCTCTCATCAATGTCACGGAGCCCCCGAGGGTTTACGTCAGCTCCTTTTGGCCATATGACTATAGGCCCGACACCCACCGGGACCTGTTCCTTAAGGAAGAGATCTCCCTCCTGGAAGACCTGAATCAGGTTATCGAGAACAGGTTGGAGAACAAGATAGCCTTCATCCGCCAGCATGCCATCCGGGTCCGCATTCACGCCCTCCTGGTGGACCGCTATCTGCAGACGTATAAGGACAAAATGACCTTCTTCAGTGATGGAGAGCTGGTGTTCAAGGACATTGTGGAAGATCCTGATAAATTCTACATCTTCAAGACCATCCTGGCAAAGACCAATGTTAGCAAATTTGACCTTCCCAACCGCGAGGCCTACAAGGACTTTTTTGGCATCAATCCCATTTCTGGTTTCAAACTCCTGTCGCAACAGTGCTCCTACATGGGAGGATGCTTTCTGGAGAAGATTGAGCGGGCCATCACCCAGGAGCTTCCCGGCCTCCTGGGGAGCCTTGGGCTCGGGAAGAATCCAGGTGCTCTCAACTGTGACAAAACAGGGTGTGGAGAAACTCCAAAGAACCGCTATAGGAAGCACTAGATTGTCATGTAGCCGTCCTCGGGTTCCTGTTGGTGAATGAGCGTGTGTCCTAACTGTCTGGGAAGTCCTGGTTTATTAACCCTCTGAACCACCCTGGCACGAATTATTACACATCGGAGATTTGGAGGTTCTTTGAGGCCCGTGGTGCTGGGAGGTGCATGGGTCTGGGGAGGAGCGTGGAAACTGTGAATTATAGTGTGTGATTGTCCTGTTGCTTCAATTAGGAGGCCTGATGGAGGCAAGTCAGGCTCCACCTGCTTTTCCTGGGCCCTATCTTGGAGGGACAGAGAGCAGCTCAGTTCTAGTGTATGCTAAATCAACAAGGGTCAAATAAGCTAAAAGCAGATGAAATTCCTTTTTCCCCTCTAAGCTGGGAAAATTGTGACAACCTGAGTCATAGAGGGCCTCGCAGGTCTGTTCTGGCTTTTTTCCATGCACAGTCTTCTGTTTGCTCCCCAGACCCTAGCTGCCTCCTGAGCTTGGGTTGACTTTCAACAGTGGACAGTCTTTTGGGTCTGAATCTACCTGGGTTTTGAGCCTCTCCCCTGGCCCTCTTCCCTGTTTCTTCAAGGGTTGGGGTGGTGGTTTAAGACACCAGACCACTAAGAGAGAAGAAGAGTTCCCAGTTTAGGATCCAGATCTGCCTCCCCTGTTGCCATTTCTCTGAATTTGTCTTCTAAGCCAGCCGGGCAGCTGGGTCCCTTCATCGGCCCCGAGAGGAGGGTGCATGGTCCGTGTATTCAGGTAATTTACCTCTTGGAGGTGATTTAAGGGAAGATACTGGAACGGCTCAGAGGGTTAATTGGTTTGCAGTGTGCCTTTGTCTATTGCATGTCTTGGAAAACTCAGATCCCAAAGGCATTGGGTTTCAGAGAGGACAATGGAGACCTTGCTCCTTTTCATTAGGGACTTCTCCAGGCAGCCAGACTCTCCAAATTTAAGAGGGAGGCTGTTACTGCAACTTCTCTGTGGGAACACTTGGCAGAGGAGTTGTTCCTTCCCGGTTTCCATTGCCACCGCTTTTCCTTTCTTTTCTTCTCCATTCCCTGATGCACCAACACTTCAAACTTGGAGTAATTTCCTACGAGTCGGAACCAGCACCAGCCACGTGGTGTCAGTGGCAACCATGGCTTAACAGTCAGCTTCTCACCTGAATCCATGGAACGCACCACAGGAAAGCCAGGGTCTTCACGTACTGATGGGTGTGCATCTGCGTGTGCATAGACGAGAGAGAGTTTAGGGAGCTGACATACACTTGAGGGCAGAGAGAAGGAACTCGTTGAGAGAGTCCTGCTCAAAGACAGGCATTGTCACCTGGGAGGGTGGGGGAAGGAAGGGCCTGGGGGCACGAGGCAGCCTTTGACAAAGTGTGCAGTCCTGGAGACCTGGCCCAAGGCTGCCTCCAGGGCCTTTCAGCCCAGTGGCCGCTTCTCTTGGGAGCAAACTGTCCTGGGGGCCTCAACCACAAGGCATGAGTCAGGAGCCACCAGCACCAGGAAGGCATCCTGGACCCGAGGAAAGTGGAAATGAAGACAGAGCGAGAGGCATTCTGAGGACTAGGCAGTTTAGGCAGATTGGAAATCGGATTAGGTCCACACAGAGAACTGCCATTTAGGAATTCCGGTTTCTCCGAATTATTAGCAGTCTGGTGCATGCTGCAATAGAGGCTGCTGCTTTTGGCTTTTGGGGTGCCTAGAACCTCCCAAAGAAAACCCAAGGCTCCAAAGCCTCTAGGACATTGTTTCAAAGGAGCGAGCCAACCAGAAGAGGAATGTGAGTTCCATAAGGGCCATCCACGGAGCCTGGTGACAAGGGGCTGATGAGCTGGAATCTGTCCTGGATTTTTCTTTTCATTAAAAACAAACAACCCCCCCGCCTCCTGTCTGCAGCATTAGCCCTCTTGGGGGCACCCCCTTGCCCCCGCCCTGCCTTTCTCCTTAACACTCCTTAACGTCCAGGGCTGCATTTGGCAGATCTGATTTTCTCGGTGCAGTCAGGGAAATAAAAATGCAGAACTGTCTGGGCATTGTCATAGCTGTTGATATCGCCACTGCTTTGGGAAATGAGGCTAATAAATTCATACAGTATTTATATATTTTCAGGGGGGCCACATTATCAGTGTGTTATGTTCTCCCCCTTATGGACTTTTCCTCTCTCCATCTATTTTCCTTTTCTTGATTCTTCTCTCCCTCAATCCTCTTCCTCCTCTCACCCTTTCCCTTCCCTTTTCTCTACTGCCCACCGGCCTGTCAATCAACCAGCACAGGTGTTAAACGCCTGTTTTTTGCCCTTCTCTGTGGAGGCGGATTTCAAGCAGAATTCTGACTCTTTGCGGGGAGGGGGTTGGGGACTGGGGGAAATTTAGGATCCAGAGATTTCCCCCAAGAAGAATATCTGTAAATATCTGTGCCTGAACAGTTGCTGGACCTTTCTAGCATTGTTTCAGTTCTGATTTCATTAGGGAGAAAGTCTCAATAAAGTTCCAATCTCTCTTTATCACCTTGTACTTTCTGATGTTCTCCAACCAGGTTAGTCTCTTTCTCTTCCCTTCATCCAGTAGAATGTGCTAATTTTTGTTGCTTGGGGATAGACTGGAAGTGTATTTACTCCCAGGTGCTGAAGATGAGCCACTCCTCAACTGGCCTTGAAACCAAGGCCCACAGTGGTACAGTCTGAAACTTAAGGAACATCTTTCCTCAGCACCTCAGTTCATCATTCTTCCTGTTTCCATGGCAGCAGCCCCCCTCCTGTCTTTTTGGCGACTGGCTGGTATGGGGATCCGAACCCTTGACCTTGATGTTAAAATGCTCTAACCAGGGGAGCTAACCGGCCAGCCCTGGCAGCAGCCCTTTTAATAGGGGCTACTTGAAGTTTCTATCCCCAGATCTCTTGCAGAGGCGGCTCAGGCTCAGTTACCCCACTGGGTTCACATGCTCAACCGTGCAGCACCTTGCTGACACCTAACGGCTCTGGCGGGGGAAGCCAGACACGTTTGCCTGACTGGTGGGGTCTGCTGTCCCTTTGGGCTGCTCCACATGTGTGGACTGGGACCTCCTGCTTGTACCTGTCTTTCAAGACACTAGAACACATCCTTGACTCCCTGATCCCTGTCCACCACGTTTGCTGTCTCTGGTGTCACCTTCAGAGCAGAGCTCCTTTCATTTTGAAGTTTTATCTTTGGGATCCTTGAAGGAGTTTCATACCCTTGCTGGAGAGCAGGTGTTTTTTTTATTTGTTTGTTTGTTTTTGTGCCTTGCCAGTAAAGGATTCAAGCCCTTGACCATGGTAAGGACAGCAGGTTTTGAAAGGGGAACAACTGGGCCCTGAGGAGCAGGTAGGAGGTTGGAAATAACCTAAAGGGGAGAGTGGGACCAACAAACTCAGGCTGCCACTGACGCAGCCACACCAGAGAGGATGCCAGACCGAGCGGCTGTGGCCATTGTCTCTGGCTTGTCCTAGTTTGGGAGGGGCTGATTTAGGGCGGCATGAACAGCCCAGCGCTTCCTCTTGTTTGTCTTCTGATTGGGGGGTTGACAGTTCATGGTCTCTGAGCCTCTGAGCACTCACCTCACCTGGGTCCCCTTTCCTATCCATTCCTGGGAGAAATATAGAGCTTTTCCCTGGAAGACAGAAGGTAGGTGAGGTCTGTTTTGAAGACAAATATAAGCAATATGCTAGAACCTGCCTCAAAGTTGTGCTATTTCACAAGCCTCATGCCCCGCCACCTTCATGTTGTCTGCCATTAAGATAATAGAGAAACAGAAACAGAAAATGGAGAAAACAACATCAGAGACCATTCTAAACAGAGCCAGAAAATGTGAGGGATGGGAATGGAGAGGGTGTCTAAGGGTGTGAGTATGTATCATCTGAATATATGGGGTCACATGTGGTTATGTGTATAAGGGGCATGCAAAAACATGCACATGAAGTCTGCATGTGTGCTGAAACAGATGCGTGTGTGAGTTTTGTGGCCAAATGATGCCTGAGTACCTGGCACACTGCCTGGCACATAAGTACTTACCACCCATGTGCCATCAGAATGAATAAGTGGGTTTGGGGGAATAAAGGAGGTGTCTGTGCATTTTATGTTGGGTGTGGAGGGTCCGGGGGAGGCATAGGTATGTCTGGGTGGGTGTGAGGGAGTAATTGTATGTGAGTGCGGATCACAGATTATGGGAGCGTGTGTGTGGGCAGATGTGTGCGTGGGATGGACCTGGATGGTCAACCCAGGGTGGAGACATGGAAGATTCAGCCCCAGGAGGACATCCTTGCCTCCCTGGGCTTTGCAGTTGTATCCTACTCCAGTGAACTGAGGTGAAAGTCAGAGCCTTAGAAAACGTACAAGTTCTGGCAACATTTCATGGCAATTCCACTTTCTGTGACATTAGGCTCAAGCTTTTCCCAGTATAGGCAAACCTTAATTTTTCTTTAGAAGACTAGAAAGGCAATAAAAAAGAAGCATTAGAAAAACGGAAACAAGAGTAGTGACATGTGGTTGTCTGTAGCAAAGGTGTATTCAACAGGTTCTGTGCCAACCTCTTATCCTAAGGATAAACTAACATGCACAAATGACCATTTTCTGCGTCTGCTTGTACTGTGGAATATGCTGTTTTCCCACGTCAATGGGGAAGGGAACCAATTTCTAGAGTACCTCCTTTGTGTCAGGAACTGGGCTTTGGACCTATAGGCATTACCACACTTACGCTTTACGATGATGCAATAATCACAACAGCTGTGCACCAGGCGCTATGCTGAGTGCTTTATGTGCCTTATTTCATTTAATCCTCATTATAACCTCATCCAGAGGTAGCTGTCTAGCATGGTTAAGAGCACAGACTCTGGAGTTAGGTTGCTTGGGATTGATCCTGGACTCCACTACTTGCCAGCTGGGTGGCCTTAGGCAAATGACTTAACTTCTCTGCGCTTCAGTCTCCTTACTCATAAAACAGAGATACTGATAGTCTCTCCTTCATGAGGTTTTTGTGAGGATTAAATGACTTAATACCTGCAGTGCACTTGAAATAGTACACAGTCCACAGAAAGCACATAGTAAATGTTAGTTGTTATTACTATTACTGTTCATATTTTACCGATAAGGAGACCAATGGTCAGAGTGGTTGAGATGATGGCAAGTGTAAGTGGGAAGGCCAGAATTCTGACACCTGACTCCCCTTTACAGGTCATGCTAGGTTACTTACCCAGGGTCACATTAGGTGATACTGTGACTTTCTGATCCCAAGACCTTTTCCTCTTCTTGAAAAACTGGCAAAGAATCAGAATTGCTTGATTTTTTTTTTTTTAATGGTCAGTCAGCATCTAGAAGCTTGTTAGTAATGAACTTTAAAGCATTCAAATGTAGGGGCCGGCCCATGGCTCACTTGGGAGAGTGTGATGCTAGTAACACCAAGGCCACGGGTTCGGGTCCCATATAGGGATGGCCGGTGCACTCACTGGCTGAGCGTGGCACAGAGAGGGTTGTGATCCTCTTACCGGTCAGGAAAAAAAACAAAACAAAACAGTCAAATGCAATTTT